TGTCAACGTGTTAAATGAAAAAGTTGTACGTTTCTTATGCTAATTCTTGTCCTATTATTTATTAATTGTAAAATAAGTAATAAATGTGATTGTGAGTAATATGGACAAGTAACATAGGTAAACGTTTTAATAGAATAGAGTTACAAAAATTATAATAGGAAATCGAGTTCTACGAAGAGACGAATTAATCGATGTTGGGCCTTGATAAATTCCTGTAGAAGACGTAATAGGATGATGAAAGCAATCCCTTTAGAATTCACTTCAAATGATTCCTGGTTTTCGCACAATTCAACAACAACAACAACAACAACAATTTATACTACATATGCGTAGAAGAATGTTTTCATTTAATACAAACTCATTATCAATTAAAGATCTGTGATCAATGTGAATAGAATTTTTTTTTTAATAATTTATAATTATCTTTTGATAAAAACAAAAAAAAAAAAGGTTATATACTGTATAAATTTTATAATATATATAATACAGTTATATACACTTTACTTTTTTATGATATTACAATAAAATACAATATTCGTGTTATTTTTTTAATATATTAATTAATTAGATTATTATTATTATTATTTTATTACACAATTATAGTTTTATATTTATAATGATAGAATAATATTTGAAATATAATTTCACTTTATTTCATTTCATTTCACAATTGTTAAATAAAAAAAAAAAAATAAAAAAAATACAATTTTAGAATTATTTTGTAAACGATAATGAATATATTAATTTTTATTCAAGAGTAATATTAGTTAAATTAAAAAATTGTTTTGACAAATCATAAGTCATTTCAGAATCATTGAAAAAAAAAAAAAAAAAAAAAAACAGAAAGAAAAAGAAGAGGAAAAGGAAGATATTTATCTTGATTTGTATCATACCAACAATTTGCCAATTATTTTTGATTCGATCATCATATAATAATCATCATTTGCTAATTATCAATTAGAATCAATAAATTGCTGTTTTGCTAATGCAATTTTTTGGTATGTTTTATTTGTGGTATCCTGTGCAGGCCTGTGCATGCCATCGCCGACCTTGCGAGGTGTAAGTACTCCCAGTAGAATGTAACCAAAATTGCTATCTCTCTCTCTCTCTCTTTCTTTAGCACGCTTTACAGCAAGCTACAAAGCTTAGAAAGCAATGTGCAATGTGCAATGTGTAATGTGCAATGTGTAATGTGCAGTGTGCAATGTTTCTTACATCTCTTAATTAAGTTTGTTTTTTGGATTACCATGAAATACTATGTTGTGTCACATGTTTTTTTAATCATTTTAGTGCACCATCTCAAATGCTTATAAACACAGGAGAGAAAACACACATTTTATCATAATAAGATTAATTATTACTTCTGTCAGCACAATATTTGATGTAATACGTTCTACCATGTTTAACAACTTTGATTGCCATGTTGGTCATACCATGACCAGCCATGATTTCTCCTAAAGACACCACAGTTGAGTCATTGGTTGATCAGAGTGTTTGAATCTTTTTACAATTGTAAACAAAATTAAATTTTGTAGTTTAATACTTTGACTGCCATGTTGGTTTTTCCTAATACACCACTGTGGGGTCATTGGTTGAGCGTATGAACAACCAATGTTAATTTTGTACAGTTTTTTACAACTGTACAAAATTAAATGAAAATTGAAAGTTAATGTATTTAAATATGACTGATATATAGAAGATACTTTGAATTAAAAAGTACCCTATTGAAACAATTAAAATTTTGTATTAACATCAATCATGGCGTCGTCCTAGGTAAAACATATATCAGCCTGGTAGTCAAAGGGTTAAATAATTTCAATTAAAGTTTTTATGCACATTTTTTATACACGGCATGGTTAATAAAAACAATATGTACCTTTTTCTAAAGCTGCTATATATATATATATATATATGATGATATAGTGAAAAAAGAAATTAACAACATGGCCGCCATTAATTTGAAAATAAAATATAAAATCAACAATAATTAATGAAGTAAAATCAAAATAATAATTATTAATTATAATTATTAATAGTAAATATAATAATAAATAATAATTAATAATAATAATTATTATTTTTTATATTTTTATACACTGTATAATATTACAGTTAAAATATTTACATATTTAAATCATAAAAAATAAATAAAAATAATAAAATACAATAAATGAAGAGAAAAAAAAAAAAAAATCCTTGAAACGTTTTTGAGAGCAGAATTGAACAAAGATACAAAATACACAAAGAAATTCAAAATGATTTGTAGAATTACAAATAACGTACATTAAACTATTGGCTGATGCAGAAGAAACATATAGAATAAAAAGAAGAGAATTTTTGTAAAAAGAAAATAGAAAAAAAAAAAACAAGAAAAATGTTGAATGAACCCCGGCTTTGCAGATTGACGGAGACAGCGAGGCTTCTGAAAAATGTTAAAAGTGTTTTCACCAGACGATCTCATGCCACTTCAAGGGCAAATGTCGAGGTGGAATTATCACGTAAGTTTAATATTAATCTTTTACAGGCTCTGCCAAGTTGGATACATTCTTTTTTTTTACATCATTTCCTTTTAATTAATCCTTCTGAACTTTTATTAAAAGAGAATCATGAATCTCTCTCTCTCTCATTGTAATTATTGATAAAAAAGAAATGAATTGCAAATTTATTAAGCAACATATAAAAAAGTAATAAGAGAAAAAATAATACTTTGCTATCATCTGTATAATTTTGATCTGTATATTTGTATACTTCATTAACTTTTCAGTTGAATACAATGAAATAATCATTGTAAAATATATATTTGTTTTTAATATTACACACACACACACACACAGACAGCTTTTTAAGTTGAATATAATGAATAATATTAATACTAATATTATACACATACACATACACACACAGCAGGACTATATTAACGTTTCGTGTTTATGAGCACATGCTTAGAACGAGTATAACAACTCACTGCTGCTTTTAGCATAAATTAAAATGTTATGTTATGTTATGTTACCTTATCTTATCTTATCTTATCTTTATTTATTTCTTTCTTTCTTTCTTTCTTTTTCTTTTTATTACAATTTTTATAACAATTTTTATAACAATATTTTCAAAGCACGTTCACTAACAAATAATATGTTTCTTAACTTTTACATTTTTGTTTGATCTATTCATTTTACATTTTTTTCCTGTATAAATATGTAACTTTTGTATATGTATACATTTATATATATTTTAAATTTAAATAACTTTTGTATATATATATATATATATATATTATTATATTATTATATAGTATATTATTATTATATTATTATATATATTATATTATATATATTATTATATTGTATTATTATATATATTATATTATAATATATTAAAATATATATTATAATTAAATAT